GGGGTCTCGCTCTTGCTCAGGCTGGTCTCAAACTCTTGACCTTGAGGGTTCCACCTGCCTAGGCCTCTCAGAGTGCTAGGATTACAGGGGTGAGCCACTGCGCCCAGCCACATTTACATATTAAAAAAGAGTATGCCTATTACCAAGAAAATGCTACATTTTAGACTTTGACTTTTGACATCTAGGATAATTAATTATATTCTTCCCAATAGTAATATGTTGTAAGCTATGTTTCATTTCACTTTTTACTTTTCTTACCTAATCTGTTTGTCTAGTTTTCCGTCCTTAAAAATAGGAAAACAACATCTGGACAAGTGTCCCTCCTAAAGGGAAAATTCTTTAAAAAATTATTATCTTCATTTTCCTTTAAGAGTAAAAATATATTTTTGTTTGAAGTTATATTTGATAAATCAGTTGTAATAATTCAAATTTGTTTATTAAACTCTAGCACTAATTATTGGTTTTATGGAAAAGAACATCAGACCTATGCACAGTTCTTTGTTTGGTAAATCCTAGGTTAGTCATATGGGCCAAAAATTTGACTCTTGCCTACTAGTAACCTAAAATTTTCTAAACTTTAAATGTCATCTGAGAGCAGAAATTAAAATTATGCATAATATTTTTCAAATAATTTTAAACTTTTAAAAGCTTTCTTTTTTGTGGTAAGAAAGTTTATGGAAAAAGTGATTGTCAGTTTTTCTAACCTAAAAATTATTATAAACTATCAAAAAATACTGTATTGAGAGTTATTGGAACTGATTTTGGCTCTCTGACTTTGTATATATCATTCAGTTTTCTGTACTTCAATTTACAAGTCTGTATATTGGGATAACTCTTTACTTTTACCTCATGAGATATGTGAAAATGGAATCTGAATGTGTATATGTTTCTCCTGGAATAAAATACTCAGTGAATTAAAGCAGTGCATTATCCATTTGTGAAGAAATCTAAAAAAAAAAAACACATTTTAAATTATTATCTTCATTTTCCTTTAAGAGTAAAATTCCAGTTGGAATAAAAGCTGGGCATTCTAATAAGGTGAGTCCCTTTCCTTCCTTGACTATTTCTGCTTCACATAGTGAAACTTACCATTTACTGATTGACAGTGGTTGTGATAGAGAACCATAATACAATTGGTTAGTCGGGAATGGAGACATTTTGCCTCAGAATTCCAAATCCCTGATTCTTGCATCAAACAGATCATACATTCCTAAGCTTCTTTTGAAATTACTTCAGTTCTGTTTTTGGAATCTCTAAAAGAACTATTAAAATGTAACTACAGTGTCAGATCACCTACTCAATAGGTGTTTTATCATGTAGGTATTTTTAGTTTTCTGTTTCAATTAGTCAACCTGGAAGATGCAGGATTATATTGTATAGAGAAAATAATTATCGAGATTTTTTGGGCTGAGTACTTTTCAAATGGTATTAAAATATTCCTTTATTAACGATTGCCCTTTTCCTCTTATGAGCATGCCGTAATTTATTTTGCCATTCATATATTTTAGATAACTGTTTACTTTTAGTTTTTCACTATTGTATTTAATATTACACATACATAGTAAACATCATCATACCCTCTCTCTGCCTCCTCCTTGTGCATCCATTTTCTCTCCGTTTTCTTCTTGCTTGCTCTCACGTGTAGTCTTTTGTTTGTGTTTACTTTCTTGTATTTACTTTTGTTTCAGATCTGTAATAAATAAAACAGTATAAAGGCACTTGAAACCCCCTGAACTCCTTCCCAGTCCCATTCTACTTCCTCCCTCCCCAGAGTTAACTATTTTTCTGAAGTGTCCTTCTGTGGTTTTATACTCTTATTGCACGTGTTCTTACAGGTAATATACTGTATGCATGTGTATTCACAAGTAATATATAGATTATTTTGTGTAAAATCTTTAAAATTTTTAAATAACATTTTGTATTTGTATAGGTTAGAAACTTTTTTAGTGTGTGTTTTTACTCATCCTTAAGCTTTTCAAATTTTTTCTCTGTTGCTATATGTGGACTTTGTTCGTTTATCTTAGTCGTTATATAGTAGTCAATTATATTACTGTAACGCAGATTAGCCACTACTCTATCGATGGGCATTTCAGTTATTTCCAATTTTTTTCTATTTTAGACAGTGATGCACTAGCAGTTTTGTCCTTTGTCTCATGTGCACACATGTAAGAGTTTCTCTAGCTCTGTATTTAAAAGTAGGATTGCTGGACCATAGGGTGTGCCTATCTTAACATTACAATTAATACCAAATAAAGTGGTTGTACCTTGCTTTTAAATTGTTGCCTTGGGATTTGGTCTCACTGGCAGGACTGCTAATTTAAGGGTTTTTGTAATTTTTACAGCTCTAGGTATATTTTGTCAAATTTCTTTCCCAAGAGGGTTTTTTCAGTTTATATCATCACCAACACATCAATGCTACTTGTTAAACTTAAATGTGTTGGCTTATTTAGTTGCTGGAAATTTGTACCTCATTTTCATTTGTATTTCTTACATATGATAGGGATTTTTATAATAGAATGTACCTATATTTATTGTATCATCATTGACAAATTGATTATTCTGTCGGGGGAAACCGAAATAAAAAGAAAGGTAATAATTATTACTAAACTTACAAACTTCCTTGCAGTACTTGAAAGTGGCAAACAACACCAAAGAATTAGAAGACTGTGAGCAAGCTAATAAACTGGGAGCAATTAACAGCACATTAAGGCAAGTTTTATTTTAGTAGTATTAAGAAAATATTCTCTAGTTTATTTAAATCAATAATCTTCTATTTTTCTTGTGATTTGGGTAAAACATTTTTGCTAACCATTAAAATTTCAACTAATAAATTTTTAAAAGGAAGAAGAAGGTATTCTTTATCCTAAATTCCACATAGGTTGCCTCTTCTTGGCTGATTTGTCCTTAAATTTCTAGAATGTATCATTAGTAGCAAATCTATTAAAAAGTAGAAATTTAGAAGAATAGACCCCAGCAGGACTATCGGTCCATTCTTCCTGATTATTATGAGAAATGGGACTTGAACCTCTAAGTCTTTTATACGTAGTGATTCAATGTACATGTTACATTTTGAATGATAGAAGTTGCTATTAGCATAACTGTTGAGTTTCATATATCTTTTTTTCTGTTAACTTTTCCTCATTTGCTTTAGGCAGAAACCTGCTTATGAAGGCCAACATAACTAGTTTATACACGGCCTCAGATTATGCAGTGTACAGTAACTGCACATAATCTATAGGAATGGAATATTGCAGAAATTCTTTTTAATTTCTGTTTAGATTTGTATTTTCATGTACTATAATTGTTAGTGACTCATAATAAAGTTAGCAGTCTTATTTATTGAAGAAAATTATAGTAAAGAAAAATAAAAGAGATAATATAATAAACACCCACACATCCTCCATTTCAAATGAATAAATGCTAGCATTTTCTACCATTGCTACCAAGAAACAAGAAACATCATAGATAAATTTAAAATCCCTTGTGTTCTATTCCCTAATCTTGTTTTCTTTTCTTTGTCCTTAGAAGTAACTACTGTCATGAATTTGGTGTGTAACCAGTCTATGTTTTTGGTTTCATCATGTATATATTCATATGTATAAATAACATAGTTTTATTTT